TTTTTTATGCTTTCTGATTGCTCCCAGGAAGATGTGTTCAGGATGTGGGCTTCCCTTTTCACTCTTCTTATTACTTAACTCAGAGCAACTTTCACAGGTGTTGTCTGTTTCCCTGGTATATGTCAGCTGGTATTGGTTCTTGCCTGGGTTTTGGTGTTTTATAGAGTGTGATTGTAGCTTGGCTATATGGCAGCAGTTGCTGACTCTTCTTATGTAATATAGGGAGACAAAGAGTCCTCCAAAGGCAGAAGGGGGGCTATATAACCGCAAAACAACACAAGTTGGGTAAAAAAAAAAAAAAATGAGAGAAAGAGGAGAAAAAAAGAAAAAAGAAAAAATTGCACCAACAAAAACAAGACTGAATACTGCAGTCTCTAATCACAGAAAAGGGAGAGGAGGGAGAGAAGAAAAAGAGGGAAAATTAAAATCTGTAGCTTAATATAAGTATGTCTTTAATGTCCTAAGTTCCTGCTTTCAAAGCTGCCTGATAGATTTTGCCTTTAAACTCTCTTTCCGTCCCTTTAGCCCCCTCCTATTTCCCGTGATAAAAAACAACAAAAAGGAAACAGATCAGCGCCTCCGCTTGGTCTGAGTCTTTGTGCGCATTTGTGTCAGAAGAACCCACCAGCGGTGAGGGTGGGGTGTGGCCACTCGGCTCAGGCTCTCTTTCTATTCACCAGAATGGAGGTAGGCAAACAGTGAGTGCGCCAATTACCAGATACCACAGATAAAAAGAAAATCAGAACAAAGCAAAACTGACAAAGTATATTGTCCACCTTTGTCCTAAGGTTCCCACGGAGTTTTTCTGTGGTGTTTCTGCGCCCCCTGTTTCGTCCCACCACTTGGTTTCGCCCAGGATGTCGGCTCAGGCCTCTGAGCCAGGCCCAGCAGATTCAAAAGTACACGATTTTTTACTTCAGCTCAACTCCACAAGCTATAAGCCTTCAAACTTTTAAAATATTCCTATCTCTGTGGTTCCGAGTTTTGGAGCTCTGCCCTTGCTCTGCTTTGCCTGGTATTCTGTGCTATCGCTGACAGCGACCTTCACTGCACCTCCACCCTAGCCGCCATCCTCTTTGCCTGGTTTTGTTACGAGGGCTATGCTCACTTCATAAAATGTATTCAGGCATTTTCCATCCTTTCCTATGTTCTGGAATAGCTTCAGTAGAATTTTTGTAGCTCTTCTCTGAATGTTTGGTAGAATTCATCAGTAAAGCCACCTGGTCCCATTTTTTTTGTTGTTGGGAGTTTTAAAATGACCTGATCAATTTCTTCTTTTGCTATGTTGTTGTTGTTAAGTGCTGTCGAGTCGATTCCCACCCATAGTGACCCTGTACAGGGTTTCCGAGGAGCAGCTGGTGAGCTTGAACCGCTGACCTTGCAGTTCAAACGGCTTTGCAGTCTGGCGCATTAACCCACATTGCCACACCAGGACTCCAGTAAATAGTAGTTGCTCTAGGTCTGTTCAAATTTTCTGTTTCTGTGCTATTTCTGTGTTAGTTTAGAGGGTGGTAGTGTTTTAATATGTGTCCATTTCTTGTAGATTTTCCAAATTTATTGGAATACAATTCTTCATAGTATTTCGTTATTATCCCTTTTACTCCCATTGGTTTTGTTTTGATGTCACCCTCATAATTTCTTATTTGTGTTATTTGCATCTTCTCCTTCCTTTTTTTTTTTGGTTAGATTTTCCTATGGTTTATAGATTTTATTCATTCTTTCAAAGAACCAATTTCTTGTCTTGTTGATTGTTTATATTGTTTTTTTTTGTTTTCTGTTTCATTTATTTGTACCCTAATCTTCATTCTGGTAGCGTAGTGGTTACGAATCGGGCTGCGAACCTTAAGGTCAGCGGTTCAAAACTACCAGCCGCTCCGCGGGAGAAAGATGAGGCTTTCTACTCCCGTAAAGATTTACACCCTCGGAAACCCTGTACAGGGTCGCTATGGGTCGGAATCGACTCGACGGCACTTAACAACAACAACAACAACAATCTTCATTATTATTATTATTTTCTGGTGTCAGTAGGCTTACTTTGCTGCTCTTTTTCTAATTGTTTGAGAAGTCGCGTTAATGTTAATGTATTGATTTTGGCTCTTTTTGGATGTGTGCTTTTATTGCTATAGATTGCCCTCTAAGCACTGAATTTGCTCTATCCAAAGGTTTTCATATGTTGTGTTTTCATTTTCATTTGATTCAAACAATTTTTAAATTTAATATAATTTTTGTTCTATTACCCACTAGTTTTAAAACCAGATGTTATTCAATTTCGATGTATTTGATTTTGTTTTTTCTTGATCTTCCTATTGCTGATTTCTAATTTTATAATATTGTGATCTGAAAAAAAGCTTTGCAGTATTTCAATGTTTTTAAACTTATTTGCTTTGTGGTTCAACATATGATCTATTCTGGACAATGTTCCATGTGTAGTGGAAAAGACTATGTATTATGCTGTTGTTGGGTTGAGTGCTCTATATAAGTCTATGAGGTCAAGTTGGTTGATTGTACTGTTTAGTTGTGCAGTATCTGTTTTTAGTTTCTTTCTAGTTGTTCTGTTCTTTATTGAAAGTGGTTTGTTAAAATCTACTAGTAGAGTTGTCTATTATTATCTCTAATTCTCTTCTAGTTTGATTCACATATTTTGAGTCTCTTTTATTGGGAACATAGATATTATGGTTATATCCTCTTGTTGAACTGATTTTTTAGTAATGATATAATACTGTTTTTGCCTTAGAGACTATTTTATTAGAAATTAATATTGCCACCCCTGCATATTCTTGATTGCCATTGGTTAGCTTGATATATATATTTCCATCCTTTGATTTTTAATCTATTTTTGCCTTTATGTTTCAAGTGTGTTTCTTTTGATGGCATATTGAAGGATCATATTTTCTTATCCATTCATTCTGCTACTCTGTTGCTTGATGGATGCATTTAATCAATTGTAATTATTGATAGGTATGAATTGATTGCTATCATTTTGTTGTGCTTTTATTTGTGGTGCTGCTGGTTTCTTTGTTCCATGAACTTTTCTGAAATGACTTAAATCTGTTTGCGGATTTTCTTTTCATTTTCATTCTGTTGTGTTACAACTCTGCAATTTATTAATTTCTTCCCAAGTTTAAAACAGTCTGTTTCATCTTGAAATCTACTTGGACTTCCTCTCCATTTGGAAGTTTTGCAACTACACTTTTCCTTCTCTTTGCTTTATGGTGGTGGTTATGTACCATGGAGTCAGTTCCAACTCACAGTGACCCCGTATACGGTTTCTGAAGCTGTAAATCTTTATGGGAACAGAAAGCCTCATCTTTCTCCCATGGAAGGACTGGTAGTTTTGAACTGCTGACCTTGAGATTAGCAGCCCAACTCGCAACCACTATGATACCAAGGCCCCTTCTCTTTGCTTTATAGTTGTCTTCATTATAATTGATATCTCTGGTTCCCTATTTTCAGTATTGTAGGTTTGCTTTACTTTGGACACTTTTTTTAACCCCCCCCCCCCAATTTTTCCCAAGATTCTTTTAGGATTCTTTCCTTGTCTTTGATTTTGAAGAGTTTGATTGTATGTCTTGAATGCTTAGCTTGTCTTCCTTCATGATGTTAGAAACGTTTTCTTCCAACAACTCTTTTGTGCTTTTCTTGGCCCCTTCTAGCTGGCACAGATCACCTGTCTACTTTTTTTGCCAGGTCTGCTCAGCTTCCTCTCTTAGTAAGCCCTCAATCTACTTATCTATCCCTTTATCTGAAGCTCAGGATTCCAGGACTATTATTTGCATCTGTTTCATTTGGTTTTCCATTTCTTGGATGTAGATGATCAATGTAGTGCTTCTGCCTAGTCCAACATCTTGCTGCCTCTCCTCCTTTGTACTTTTAATTTTTTTTTATATTTCTACATTGCATATGTAACTCTTTTAATAAATAACGTTACTATATTTAGGAGTCCTGGCATATCACTGCGAGTGAATGTGCTGGACTCTAAGACCGATTTGAACTGCAGGGCTGGTGGTTCAAGCTTACCAGCTGCTCCTTGGAAACACTATATAAGGTTGTTATGAGTCGGAACAGATGTGAAAGCACTTAACAACAATGTTTATTTAAAAGAACATTACGTGTCTACACCCATATATAATCAAATACTGACTGATTGTGACCCCTCTACTGAGATTAGATCTGGTTGAATTAAGTTTCTTGACAAGTTATGGAAAATGAATATTTGAGAAGATGGAAGCTGGTATATTAGGGTTCAAAAAACACATGCATACATCATCGTCAAACAAATGAAATATATTAAATTGCATGACACCAAGACTACAATTAAAACAGTCAGAAAAATCTTAAAATTGGAAGAAAAGACTATTACAAACCTGTTTTCTACTTTGAGCTCTTGCATTTCGTAATCTTCGAGCAGAATAAAAGATAAAATAGCCCACAGTTGCTGCCGTAATTATAAAAAAAGATACAGAAACGAAGAAAATTGAATAGTGATTCACCCAAGGGCCATGCTTTTTCCCTACTTCGATGACCATTGTGACTTGTATGCCTTTTTGAATAGACTGTAGAATTTTCGTGCCTTTCAGATTGCCAATCATGATTGCAACAATGTCTCCTGCACCTGTAAAAGTAAAGGAATTCCATTTCAGTTTGGTAAAGCCTCCTCAGAATAAAAATCCAACTGCAAAGATTTTTTTTAATGAATTCTAATGAGACAAAGGACGGATATGCATTCATTCAATTACCAATTACTGAGCACCTACTATGTATATTAGGGAGCCCTGGTAGTGTAGTGGATTATGTGTTGGGCTGCTAAATCACAAGGTCAGCATTTAGAATCTACCAGCCACTCTGTGGATAAAAATGAGACTTTCTGCTTCCATAAAGATTTACAGCCTCAGAAACCCTATATAGGGTTGCAATGAGTCATAACCGACTTGATGACACACAACCACTACCACTACTACTATGTTACAGTTGTTGGGATATAACAAGCATGAGATTTTGTTCCTGATGTTAAGGAATTCATAATCTAATAAGGAAGCAATGATATATGAAAAATACTAGTATCTCCTCCCTTGTTCAGGTTCAGAGTACTTAGTTTGGGGCCCCATTTGCATCTTATATGGTTTGCTTTAAAACAGTTAAATAGTATGCTGAATGGTAGAAATTCTGAAGAATCTGAGAATTGAAGAAATATAGAAACATTTAACTATATGTTTCCAAATTTAAAAAGTGGTAGACTATTATATGAGCTCACTACTAAAATGTATAAAGATTTACACATCAAGTTTAGTAATTTGAGACAAATAATATCTATAAACCCAAATGTAAAACCTGTACATGTAATGGGGCTTTTTCAAAATGTTCATGGGAAAATGAAATGAAAAGATAATGGAATTTTCTCATAAACTTTAATTAGTGCCCTCATATGTTCATAAAATGTCATTTTTCTATATCCTCAAATGCAGTGTCAAATTTGTCCAAGGTGCTCTAATGTTTCACATGGACCTGATCAGGTTAGCAATGAAGATAACAAGTAGAACTGACAGAGATTTTTGTTTCTATTCAATGTCAATTTAAAACAAGGCTGAAATTAGATGAAAGTTATTACTGAAGGTTCAATATTTATAATACCTTCCTCCCTACCTGCAATGATGTAAGTCTTGTTGAAAAGAATAAAGGACAAACATTTTCCCCAATGTTGTGAGAATGTCAGATTACTTGTGCCATTCCAATGCTATCAAGGTGTATATCCCTCTAGTGTATATGATCTAAAACCAATAATCTTAAGCAAAATAATACAGTTATTTGAATGCTATGAGACAGCCAACAAGAGAAACCTCCCACTATTATTAAGGTACTAATCGAGATTAATGATTAAACTTCAATCTGGAATAAACAGGAAACACACACAGGACTCTTAAAAGGACATTTAGACTAGAATTTTAAAACAAAAGGACAATATTAAAATAGTATTCATATTTTAATGGCCAAATTAAGAGTAAGTAACTTAAGTATCCATGCAAATAACAGACTCATTACCCAAGTAATCACTGAAATTTTAGGTCCCCTATGGTCAAAGTTTTCAAAAGATTAGGTCAAACTGAAATATCTCATGATACACTAGCTGAGATCCTCTACTTAGATGAAGTTAGTAATTTAAAAAGAGTGTTTATAGATCCTTAAACTTCCAAAAGATTATTTGTTACATATTATAGCCACTCAAACTCCTTTATAACTGTTGTTAAGTGCTGTTGAGTCAGTTCTGACTCAAAGCAACCCTGTATAGGATTTCTGAGGCTGTAAATCTTTATTAGAACAGAATGTTTCCTCTTTCTTCCATGGAATAGCTGGTAGATTCAAACTGCTGACCTTGTGGTTAGCAGCCCAACTCATAACCCACTGCACTACCAAAGCTCTTTTTTAAAAAAACTGTACTAGTCATTTAAGATCACTCTGTTAGAGGTTAATGACTTACTCTGCTCTAGTTTATATGGGGCAAATCTCAGAAGAAAGGGGCAATGAAGGAGTCTGGAATACAGATACCTTCTGTTTTATCTCTTTCCTTTATTAGTGTGACACAAATATCCCTTATGGGTCTAGAATTTTGGTTATATTGCAAGAGAGGGACTCAGTTTTCAAAAAATAATTGGGATTTTAAATATCTGGCTATGGCACTAAAAGAGCAGATATCATTTCAATTCCACTTTACCATTATTTGCCTTTTTTCTACAAGCCACCATTCAGCAATATTTCTGTTTATAAAGTTTTGATTAATCATATAACTTAGCATTCACCTTTGATATTATAAACCATAGTCTTTGAAAGCATAGATAATTTGAAAATCAGGCTATGGAATATATTAGAACTGTAAAGACCTCTTTATAAATCATAGATGTGTCCTCATATTAACATGTTTTACTAGTAAAATTAAGTTTTTATTCTTTTAGACGATACGAGGTGGGTGTCAGGGGTGGGTACTCAGGAACATACTGGGCATTGTGGTTAGATGGAAATTAATAAACAAGGATACTCAAGACAATCTACACATGAGGAATAATACTGTGGTTCAACTCCCCCAATCCATATTCAGACATGCTAAATATAGCCCAACTATAACACATCTATTGAATTAGCCTACTAATCATATAAAACATCTTGTTTCTGAGTATAATGATACATCTCTTCCTCTCTACACCCTTGCAACCATCTAAAAACGGTTCCCCCTTCAATACACCTATCAGAGTTAATGGCATCACAACACTTCTGGCCATGTGGGTTAGTAACCTCAGCATCATCTTTGAATCCTCACTGCTCATCTAATCAGTAACATAGATGTTACTTCCTTGGTGTCTTCCATCACCATGTCCTTCTTTCTTTTCCTGATACCTATTGCCATTAAGTTGATTCGAATTCATAATGACCCGACAGAACAGATCAGAATTGCCCCTTAGAGTTTCCCAGGCTGTAATCTTTACAGAAGAAACCCTGTTGCACAGTGGGTTAGGCACTGGGCTGCTAACCCAAGGTTGGAGGTTCAATCCCACCAGCCACACTGTGAGACAAAGATAAGGCTGTTTGCTTCTATGAAGATTTACAGTCTTAGGACCCTACGGAGCATTTCTACTCTATACTACAGGGTCACTATGAGTTGGAATGGACTAAGTGTGGTGTATATCTTTACAGAAACAGACTGCTATAGTTTTATCCTGCAGAGCAACTAGTTGGTGGATTCAAACCACTCACCTTTTAGTTATCAGCTCACACTTAATCACTGCACCACGGGGGCTTCTTGCTCCCATGGTATCTTATTGTTGTTGTTGTTAAGTGCCATCAAGTTGATTCCAACTCATAGCGACCCTGTATAGGATTTCCGAGGAGTGGAAGGTGGGTTTGAATCACAGACCTTGCAGTTAGCAGTACAGTCCCTTAGTTTTTGTTATTAAATACTGTTGAGTCAGTTCTGACTCATAGTGACCCAGTATAGGGTTTCTGAGGAGCAGCTGGTGAGTTTGAACTGCTGACCTCATGGTTCAAACTGATCCGATGGTCCAGTGCTTATCCTACAGCACCACACCAGGATTCCTCCCTTAGTATTGTTGTTAAGTGTCATCAAGTTGGTTCCAACTCTTAGTGACTCTGAATAGGGTTTCTGATGATCAGCTGGTGGGTTTGAACTGCTAACCTCGTGGTTCGCAGTCCAGTGCTACAGCACCACCACCACACCAGGAATCTTCCCTTGGTATGTTGTTGCTGTTGTTATGTGTCATCGAGTCGGTTCCGACCCATAGCGACCCTGTATAGGGTTTCTGAGGGTGTAAATCTTTACGGGAGTAGAAAGCCTCATCTTTCTCCCGCGGAGCAGCTGGTAGTTTCGTATAAGGCCTCATAATTTCCGTCCTAAACCATTTCAGTAGCTTTCTAACTGGTCTCTCTATATCCAATTTTCCCAATCCCTTTAAAGTTTCTAGAGTTTACATTCTTGGTGGTTTACTTTGTCATCAGTTGTCTGAATCATATCTCTTCCTTGCTCAGAAGTCTTTGATGTTGTTGGTAAGTGCTGCTGAGTTGGTTCTGACCCATAGCGACCCTGTATAGGGTTTCTGAGGAGTATCTGATGGCTTTGAACTACCGACATTGTGTTTAGCTTTAAAGACTACTTATTACTCGCTAATCAGTACTAGGAGCTCTGGTAGCATAGTGGTTACAAATTGGACTACTAACCCCACGGGCAGCAGTTCAAAACTATGAGCTGTTCCACAGGAGAAACATGAGGCTTTCTGCTCCTGTAAAGAGGGTCACTATAAGTCAGAACCGACTCCATAGCACATAACAACAACAACATTACTCACTAAAGTCTGACTTCTTAGCCTAGTATTCGAATTATTTTATGATCTGGCCCCAACTTACCTTTCCAGTTCCATATATCTCTACTACTTCCTAAAGGAGCTCTGGTAGTGTAGTGGTTACGAATTGGGCTGCAAACCTCAAGGTCAGCAGTTCGAAACTACCAGCTGTTCCATGGGAGAAAGATGAGGCTTTCTGCTCTGGAAAAGATTTACAGCCTCAGAAACCCAGTACAGGGTCTCTATGAGTTGGAACCGACTTCACGGCACATAACCACCACCACCACTTCCTGACTTGTGAACACTCAGATCTAGCCACATGAGACAGGCTATTATATTTACTTACTTGCATACCTCTTTCTGTTTATTCTGCTTCCTCAGGCAAAAATGCCCCACATCTGCTCTGACGTGCCTCACTCCCGATCTTCCTGTCTATGTATTATTGCTGTTGTTTTTAAGTGCTGTTGAGTCGGGTTCGACCCATAGCTACCCTGTATAGGGTTTCTGATGAGAGTCTGGTGAGCTTGAACTTCTGACCTTGTGATTCAAACTGACTTTACCATCCAGCGCACTAACCCACAGTGCCACACCATGACTCCATATGTATTAATCAAAACCAAAATCCCAACCCACTATTATTGAGTCAATTCTGACTCATAGTGACTCTATAGGGCAGAAGTAGACTGCTTTATAGGGTTTCTGAGGTTAGAAATCTGTGCAGGATCAAACTGTCTCATTTTTTTCCCCACAGGGCGGTTGGTGGTTTCAACTG